ATCGCTACAAGACTCAAAAAGATAATCCATTAAGATCAAAAAGGAATTACCTTTCTGCAATTCAAAAACATATTTAAATCATTCACCAAATCTGCTATTGTAGAGGCCTAAAATCAAAATGCTAGGTGGGTCTTTCAAAACAGTGTCAAACTTAAGATATCATCATATAACCAAAAACAAAAAACCATTAAGGCACTAAAATATATGAACCACTTCCAGGACAGAGACAGGCTACTTGTGGAAAAGGTTGAGTAACATCAATCATTCTTTCTCCTGAAAGAGCAACCTTCGGTGAGTCTGGCCCGGCCACCAGTTGGTTGACACAGAACGGTCTGGCAGTTGCCGCACACGACAACAGTTTGAGAGTGGCTGAAAACAGTTGTTCTGCAATTTGTTTCGGCACAAATGAATATTAATCGAATACTTTAAATAATCAAATCAAAAATTTAACTACCAACTAAATATATTAGATGACCAAATCAAAACAGGAAAGAAAAAATCACTTACATGTTGAAACAGCCCTGGCATTTCACATCCTACAGTTTATTAGAGAAAAAGAACCAATTAGTCCAATGCAAAGCCTACAAATAATTAATAAAGACCTAGCATCTTGAAAAACCCACGATACACATTCAGATGAGATTAGAGATCATATTACACAGAACTAAACCTAATCAAAGCATTTGACTATCAAAGTAAAGAGATACTTAAAGGCCTAAATTCCGGAAAAAAGGTCAAAACTACTACAAGAGACAATCAACAGGTACCGAGTAACTGCTATTAGTATTACCATGAAGAACGAATTGGGGGACTGAACAAGTCGCTTGAGCTTGTGCTTCTTCTTCTCAAGCTCCGCAGGAGGATTCAACAAATCAATATCGTTTTGAAGAACCTAATTCAACAATTACAAGAAAAGATATTTAATACTACTTTAAAAAATCAAACGGCACTATTAACTTAAAATATAACGGAACAACAGCAAGTCTCGGTTGGTTAACAAGAACAATAAGTATGCACGCTTAATATTGATTCCCTTAATTATCCTCAGGCTAAAAAACAACCAAGCAGCTAAAAACATGAATGATCATATGTGTCTGATATTCTCAGCAGCCAAACTGCAGAGAATATCATGAGAATATACAGTTTTGGTCGGAGAGCACTAGAAGATACAGGCGAAAGGAAAGCTTAATAACAATCAGCTTGAATAAAATAACAGGCAAGAACAACATGCATCGTTTCGATAATTGTCTAATTCAACTTCCCTGAGGTTTACCAAGAACCAAAAAGCTAAAAGAGAAACACCATATGTATGTGCTCCGTAACCAGACAGCAGAAACTTCGAGGACGGAGTCTTGCAGAGAGAGCTTAGAAAGAAACAAGCGAAAGAAAAGAGTCTAACGAATGATTGATTCGAAGAAAACAATTAACAAGATCTACAAAAGAAGTCCGGATGAGAGCAGCAGACAGCGACGGATTCGAACTCACCATCTTGCCGACGTAGTAGAAGAACCGAGGAAAACCACAAGAACCCTAGCAGAGTGGAGCAGGAGCAGCAAGATGCGAGAAAACCCTAGCTAAACGGAGTATATATAGAAGTAACAGTGAGAATCATATTGTCCGTTGGATGAGAAGGCATTTAATCCCGGCCCTTGGTTCTGACATATACACAAAACTAGATAAGGGCTCGCTTGTCGTTGGATCGAGCCCAAGTCTTGAGCCTGAAATATTCTTTTGAAAAATGAAGCCAGAGGCCCAAGCTAATAGTTGACAATTTTTACATAAAATAAATCTGAATTTTGCATGACATGAAATTTATTTAGTGAAGATGGTTAAAAAGTGCATCTTTTAAATTTCTTCAATTTTTATAACATCTTAAATGTAAATATTCTAATTTCACGTAAATTCAATTTCTTTTTTTTTTTTTTTTTATAATCATAATAAAATTTGCCGACATCCCATTATTAAATTAAATGTGAAATCATGAATTTATTCTAATCATAATGTGTGTAATAGTTACAAATTTAGGATACATTGGATGGTAAGAAATATTAACTGATTCTCTGTTTTGACACTGAAGTTGATATTTAAGCTGGGGTTCAAATCACATTAGGATGAGAATTAACAATTTGAGCTCATATAGATTTATCTATGAAGTTAAAATAATATGTATCAAATTCCACAAAATTTGGCAAGTAGATTCTACACAATTTCATACCCTTTTCAAAATATAACTTGGAAAAAACCTAGCACACCCTTCCGCTAGATTCTATTTTTGATATGATGAGAAAAACCACAGTCATCTGCAAATATCATGTTAGTAGTGTAATCTACTGGCAAGCAAGAATTCTTACGGAGAGCCTGGCATGATAGCTCTTGCTCCTGCAGAAGAGTTTGTTCACCAGCAACAAGTCTCCGAAATAAAACATTAGATGAAAACCATCCAAAAAAGCATATAAAAATAGATTAAACAGTCAAGAAGAACTTCAGTCTCACACAAACTTAGCAAGCTGCACATCTTCCACTCCGCAAAAAATCTGCGCTTATAGGTCTGAGTTTGGAGATGAATGAGGGATTCCATCAAGCCTAAAGTCCAAAGGAAGTAGTGCAAGCAAAAAGTGTCCAGAAGTCCCAGAGTATCACACATACACAAGCTCTTCCTCTGGGGGACACCATTTTCAGCTAACCAAATAACCTAGGGGCTCGACTGGTCAACAGCTAGAAAACAACTATTATTATTTATGATACTTGGAAACAAGTGATATAACCTGCTATTTTGAAAATGTATCGCCACATTAGTGTACATTTTCGGGGAGCAGCCCATGATGTTCTGATAGGAAAGGCACAGAGTATTTTCAAGGCAAGGTTATCCTGAAAAAGCCCTGCCTACCAAAACATAATAAGTAGGCCAGTTTTAATGTCAGCAACTCTTTGAATTGCCTGGTATACAGAAGTAGGAGGGTCAATTACAAGAACTTTTTGTTCCTGATAAAAGATAAGAAAGCTGCACTTCCAAACTAAAAGTTATCAACAGAACATTTTAAGGTAGAGCTAAGATTACAGGTCATTTATGACCCATATGTGCAAAAAGATTAATGAATCAATAGTCCAACTAAAGTACAGCTGAGGACAGGTTTAAAGATCACATTACTAAAAGTATGTGAATTACCAAAAATGTGAAATGCCATCTTGGACCGATCAACCAAAGTCAGGATACCCGCTCTGTTTAACTATCCATACACGACTATCTGTAGAGGCTAAATGGCAGGATGAGGATTTCAACAGTGAATTTGAGATAGGGATCATAGACCATACCTAGGTTAGACATTACAATTAAACATAACCCTCATTGTCTCAACAGCCCATTGTTAAATGACAGTATTTATCATTGTACCAATCTCGGTTATTGTATGCAAAATACTTCAGACCTAAACGATCTGCAACACTTGCACACTTGATTCAAACCATACTGCCTTGCTGCAGCCTCTTTCCCCACTACTCATGCTAGAATGTTCGTCATACTTTTACTTGGTCTAGGACAAAACTGCACTATCCTTTCGCTCAGTCTCTTTCCCAACTAAAGTACAGTCCAGCGTCATTCCTACAAAAGCTGAAACCATTGTTATGCCATTAAAAGTTCGATACAATGAGACCACAGTAGCATATAACCAGAATTATTCAGAGAGGAAAACTTGGCAGATTTTGCAGCATAAGACAGTGAAACAAAATACACCTTACCCTACCCTCACTTTTCCTAAAAGACTAAATTACAGGTGCGTTATTAAGATTCGAAACAAGAAGACTGCAAACAGAAGTAGGTTTGCAATAGAACACATCCTTGAAATGGTGTGTATTAAGTGTTATTACCCAAAACAAACTTAATAGTGCCATTTTTTTTCTTCACACTTCAACTGTGTCAAGAATTTCCATCTAAAGTTAAGGCACAAGTTATTAGTTGCTTGTCTTTGTCTCAGAAGCCTCAACAACCTTAAATACTGAAGATTCTCATTTTAAGTTCATGGCATGCTTTCGACTCATTCTGCTCCAACAGTGGATTTCTTGTACAAAATACATCACATAAAACTCACTTGTTCCTCCTCTCTGACAGGCAATCTAAACAGCAGCAACAGACTTTACATTGTCAGAGGTTAGGCATTGCAGCCATAACTAAAAGAACAAAAAAGAAAAAAAAAAGAAAGAAAAGGAAACACAGACCCACACACGCACAATTCTGAATTACCATGAACTTTCAAATAACATGGCATGTCTAGCCAGGATATTTCACTGGATGTACAGCATAAGCTCAACAATGTAACTACGAACTGTTCCCGACGAAAAAGAAAAGAAAAACACTATGCTAAGCTTGATCTTATCAGAATGCTACTACCTAACATGTGAAAATATAGCTAATTCCACTAACCTTCCTCGTTTCAAGCATCACTGTCATCACTGTCATCATCTCCATTGTTACCCGGATCATTAGCAATGTAAAACCCAGGCTGCACCACCCGCCGCCTGGTCCTCGACGGAAGAATGTTATCCAAATCGACCTCTGCCAGCGGATCATCAGATAAGTCGCTATCGGCCTCTGATTCGTTCCCGCCATCACTAGAGTCATCACTATCTTCCTCTTCGATCAATTTCCCTTTTCCTTTATCGTCTCGCAAAATCCCCTTGCCCTTCCTGTCCACTTCAGCTTCTTCGCTCGATTGATCGCCGCTGTCGTCATCCTCGTCATCTCCCGCGTCTTCTTCTTCTTCTTCATAATCAGCCTCCTCATCTTCTTCAGCTTCCTCTTTAGGTTGATCGATTTTTTCCTCCGAATTCCCGGAATTATTTACGATTTTCTCTTCAGTAGAAGAATCTACAATATGAATTTTGTTCCCGTTCTCTTCTTCTTCATTAAGACCACACTTTTCTTCGGGAGCTGTTGAATTTTTGCCGAAAGCCTGCAGCTTTTGGGTTTTGGTTGGGAGATTTTCTTGGCCTTGGCAGCAAATGTCGGGTTTACGCTTGGCGGGTAATGTAACTTCTGGTTGGTTCTCAATGTCTGCCATTGATCTGTTAATCTTCTTCCAACTGTGAGGAAAGTGAATGCAGCCGATTCCACAATGGCGTTCAAATGTATCCTACTGAAGTGTAAGATCGAATTATTTTAGGGTTTTCTTCTTACTGAAAGAGAAAATTGATTCTTGTTAGGGTTTGCTAGTTCAGGGGAACGACGCGGAAAAACCTGACATCTATTGCAGCTAGGGACCTATAATTTTCTACTGTGCCCCTAGAGTTTTGATATTTCGAAAATGACCAACTCAATATGATTAGCGGGTCGGGTCAAATCTTTCTTTTTAAAAAATAAAATATAAGTATGTTATTATAGGCAAATGTGTCAAGGAAATACCGCACATATATAAAATAATTATATGTCAATTAAATGATCAATAATTATCTCAATTTTTTTCAAATTTTTTATATCATGACTTAATAAAATATAATCAAATATTAATTTATCTTTAATTTTTATAAAATCAGTTTCGATACTCTAAAAAATTCTTGTATTTTTTTCTTTTCATACTACCTAAAAAATGTTTATATTTGGGTCTAAATGAAAAAATTGTGTCTATAAATATTATATTAAATATAAACCATCTAAGATTAAATCGATTATGAAGTAAATTAGTAAATAATGGTAAATTTGATTATTGAGTGACATTTTTAAATTTTTATGAATTATGCATTGGTACATTTTTACTCAATGATGATTGAGTTATATATTTGATTAATATATGTTTTTTTTTTCAAGAAAATGTTAGTGAATAATAAATAATACATGATAAATTATATCTAATGATTATGATTTTTTTTTTGTTATTAAAAATTAGCTATTTTGTAAATTAAACTATATATTTTTATATAAAATAAAATTTTACATTTGTGTCTTATTTTTAAATGGACCCATTGTTATGTTATTATTCTTGAACTACTTATAATCACATTATTGGCGTATAATATATATTAAACTATCATCTACCTTGAAAATTGAACTTGAATTCATACATATGTTTGTTATCCAGGCAATGCTTTATCATTAATATATTTGTTTTAGCTTGATCATTAGGATATGCTTCTAATGTTAAGTCTGCCTATACAAAAATTTGATATTTGATGTTTGAGATTGTGAGATTTACAATTGTATAAAATAATAGAGGCTAAGACATAAAATTTGATACTTGATAAAGAGTGAAGTAGAGAGCAATAAGTGTGGGTTATTAAAGAGAGAAAATGATAAAGAGATAATGTTTCAATAATTGGTGTATATGTTTTGATATAATTGATGAGAATATAAAGAAGTGTGATATATGTGATTGAGATGAAAGAATGCTAGCTAATTGAATTAGATAAAGATAAAAGTGTTAACTCCCGACCCATTGTAAATTTAACATTGTCTTTGAGTCTTTTGATTCCTCGACCACAAGTTTCATATTATGTGAGAATGGAGGGAATTACCTTTAAAAAATTAAAGATTCCAATTCAAGATGTTGAAAAAACAATTGTTGCGTATTTAGGTATTGATATTGATTAATATTTTTTTTGTCTATTATGTCGAAAATTATCAATAAAATGTAAGACATTTTATACTTTTCAATGGGCAAATTGTTTGAGAAAATAAGAAAGAATAATGATACATAATAGATTTGTAAAAGAAGGAAAAAATATCAACTTATCAACTCCCAAAAATGTCATTAATTTTTACTAAGAAACTAAACAAGATGTAAAGACGAAAAGAAATATGAATGAGGCTCTAAAGAGAACCAAGAGGTATCAACTAGAAAAATATTTTTTTAATAATGCAACCCGGACCAATCATTCGATAAATAATCATATGATTAACCCTAAAACAATTAAGCATTTTGTAATCATTATTCATTAATTATATAAAAATAATAAATACGTGTATAATTATTTATTAGTATGAATAATGTGTTCTTTTTATTATTTTAATAGAAAAATCACATACATTTCAATTACTAAATATTATTAACATATACAACAATATAATCAACCTCTTAATAAGGCGATAACACAATCAACTTCACTACAAAGACAAACATATGATGCAAATCCTACTAAAATTCATAAATTTATATAGATAATTAATTTTTTTTTAATTTTCTAATATTACTGAATAAATGTGCATTTGTTAAAATGATGACAGTAAAAGTCCAAAACTTAGGGAAATGAAAATATTGAATTATATTAGCTATATGTAGAGGTAATTAAGAATTTATAGTTTACATTCTTTGTACAGTAAATCATTATATTAAATAGAGATACAGAAATATCCATTTATAACAAGTTCATAATAATGTAATAAATGGTTAAAACAAAATAAAATAAAATCATATAGAGTTACCTCCGCTGGACAACTGTGATGAGATCCGGGGGGTGACCTTTATTCGCAACTCTCTTGCTGTTCATGATCTGCATATTGGTTTTATTAATATGAAATTATTAAATAGGAGAATTAGCTACACTACCTCAATAAAAATATCACATTTAACATTGATGCGGAAAACTAAAGGTTGGTAAAAAAAATCATAAAACAACCAATGAAGCCATTATTTCTTTTCAAATAAACTAGTTTAACTTAAAAACTGTTATCTCATACTTACCTTTATGAGTTTTCAAAATCGACCTATGAAGATAATATCCAAATAACATTGTGATTTTATATTCAAATGAGTGATAACAATAACTTACCTCCTTAATTGCTTACCAGTACCCTTGAGCGTCCACAGGGATCCCCCATATGCGTGGACCTAATGTTTAAGTTATCAATTAATTGGTCTTCCCCATACTCTATCCGGTAATGAATGCCAAACATATCACTGCCTCAATACCCCGTCTAGTATGAGAGTAAATTATACCTCTCAATCCCTTCTGGTGTGGGACTTATCATCCCCGTTCGACTACGGTAATGCCCAAGGTAGAGTTTTTCTTATGTACCGGGTTCGTACACCCTTGCTTAGAGTACCCGATAAGTCTTTCATATATAGATTTATATCATCAATTATCACCAAATCACATACCAACATCACATTTTTATCAATCAAGAGTAAGTCACGCAAATAGATAATACATAACTCAACAAAATATTATTAGGACATTTTTTGTAAAGAAATTAACAGACGAGGACAACGCAGGTAGATAAACTAAATAACTGAGAAAACAATTAAAATTAATAATTTAAAGCATATGATATGACAGTAAGCATTTTAGGTAGTATAGGAGAAAATAAACAATAAACTATGACAATTATACACTTAACGATTCTGCTTCTACTAGTGATCTGTAATTAATTTTAGAACTTTCTAATTTTCACAAAATATAATGTTATTGATTATTAAACTTCAATTTATTATAACGGAGAAAATGACGAGGGGTTCTTATCCCGAATCGGTGTTCGAAATACCATACTTTTTATTGCGTCTCCTAACGGTCCCTGACTTTTCTAAAATTTTTTTTGGAAAATTAAAATACCCGCATATCCAAAAATACCCCAAAAAGTCAAAATATGTGTTTTTAAACTTTTTAGACCAATTTAAGGTCCCAGCACGGTGGTCCAGAGCCAACTCCGTCACTCGTGGCAGTGGTTCCTCTTGACCTGGTTATTTTTAGCCAGTTTATGTCGATTTTGATCGATTTTACATGAAAACCTGTGAAAAAGCAAGTTAGGGGGCCTCTGTTGGCCGAAAAAGGTGAAAATCAAAACCCTACCGGTGGAATGGTCTCCGAGTGCGGTGGCTCCATCATTCCTCCTTTGTGTTTGAGATGTTTCTTCAGCTAACCTGCATCAGAACAAAACGAGAACACAACGGTCAAAAAATTATGAGAAACGAGAAACAAGAAACGGGAAGGGACTCATTGGAAGGGGTTTTAGATTTCGACTGCGGCGACTCGGTGAAGCTTTGCTCGTATTTTTTGGCTCACTCGTCAGCCTTTTGGCTCCGATATGGACATAGAGAGTTTCAGGATTAAATTTTCAGCAGATGAGAGAAAAATCTTACTTTTTCAGTGTCGACAGTGCTTCAATGTGGCAATGACGGTGGTCGGTCTCCTTCTCCAGTGTTTGGTTCACTTCCCGATCGCCCTTCTTCTTCTTCTCCAATCACCCATCTATTGGCTAAGGTTTTGGTTCCCTGTGAATATGAGTTTAAATACTCATCTCCATTCCATCTAGGTCGTCCGTTCGAGTCGACGTGGAGGGAGGAGAACCATCCGATCGTTGTTTGTTTAGGTTGATCATGTGTGCTAATCAAGACTGTCCATCACGATCAATCCCATCTATTCGATTGCGTCTGAAGATGAAATAGATCCGGATCGTTTGTATGCGCGAGATATGATCTGGACCATTAGATCGCCCAGGCACGCGGATTGCCCACGTGAAACCGATGTCAATGTTTTCGTCATGCGGCGGGTTCTGACTCGTCGTTGCCATTAACATGGTTGTCCCACGCTGCTAGATTTTTTTATTTGCGATTTTACCCCCTATTTTGAATATTTCTTTCAAAAATACCCCCTTTATTCATATTTTCTCTTTTTTTAAAAAAAATATTTTCAATTACATCTCTAAATGTATTTTTCTAAAATATTTCACAAAATTAAAATAGAATAAAAATTAAATTATTTTAATATATTATTTTATTAATTGTAAAATTATCTCGGGCCAAATTTTTGAATCCGAGTATTATAACTCTCTCCCCCTTAAGAAGAAATTTGATCCCTCAAATTTTTCGCCCTCTCACTAATTAAAAAGTTGGGGGTACTGGGCTCTAAAATCCGATTTTAGCTCCCAAGTGGACTCATCCTTTGCGTGATTCTGTCATAAGACATTG